AAGGAGCCCGAATCGCCTACTCCCAAGGGAGTCGCCGATTCCCCTCCACTTCTGCAGGTACATTGACGTAGAGCGCGCGTCGTGGACTTCAAAGCCTCCGACCCTCCTCGCAACCCCGCGAGCTACTGGTAGCAGATTCCGTGCTTCTGGATCAAGAATAGTCATGCAATATATGTACTTGTTTACGTTGACGACCTCATCATCACAAGAAGTCATCGACGTGACTTACTCAACTTCGTCGACAAAGTATGCACTACATTCCACTGTCGAGATCTTGGTGGCCTATCGTACTTTTTGGGGATAGAAACTACAATGGTGACAAACGGACTAAGATCGAGTTTCACAATGGAAATACTCTATAGATTTGTTACAAAAGTTCAAGATGGTCGATTGCAAGGCTGCAGACACTTCGAGTGCGCCGGAGAAACATCTGTCCAAAAACGACGGAGATATTATGTCTGATCCAACTACCTACAGAAGCATTGTTGGTGGACTGCGATATTTAACTCTCACTCGTCCCGAGATCGCCCATGCAGTCCATGAAGTATGCAAATTCATGAGTCAACCACGATCAACACACTTGCAAGTGGCAAAGTGCATCCTGCGGTACATAAAAGGAACGTTGGAAGCAACTCTATTATTTCGCGCATCATCATCAACGAAGCTGGTTGTCGACGTTGATTCCGATTGAGCCGAAGACCCAGATGATCGGCGATCCATTACAGGATCTTGCATTTTCTTGGGACCCAATCTAGTAACATGGATGACAAAGAAACAAGCCACAGTATCACGTTCAAGTGTGGAGGCTGAGTATCGCGCCATCGCATACCATTATAAAGAAAACAGATCTTTAGGGACGGATCCTGACCGTCCCTAAAAGTCTGTTATCTTGTAGTGTACACAACGGCGGAATTACGGTGATTCTGCTATCTTCTTAGAGAGCTAGGTATTAAGCTACTTGAGGCTCCTCGTATTTTAACCGATAGCAAGTCGGCATTATTTATGGTGAGCAATCCAATCGTTCAAGCCCGCAGTCGCTACATCAAGATCGACTATCACTATGTCCGAGAATTCATCGCAAGCGGGAAATTCACAATACAACACATTTCATCACATACACAGGTGGCAGATATATTTACGAAGTCTTTGCCACTTGATCTATTTCTACGACATCGCTGTCGTCTCAATCTCCACGACATACCTTTGTCGAGATTGAAGGAGGGTAACGGATAAGATTACTAAAATGTCAAGGACCCAACTACAATTGGTCCCTCAATACAAATATAAATAGTGACATATATATACACGTAATAGTTAAGAATTATTCTTATATTATAATCAAGTAGTTTACGAGCATTCTTTCTTCTCTACCTTCTCTACCTCTCTACACCATTTACCTTCTCCAATACATTCGATTGAGTTTCTTCTACTTTTTACACCGTTCAGCTCAAGCTCAGTTGTTGAAAACTACTGCTGATAATAGATAATCACAGGACGCTCCAACCACTGAATCACTACTGAACAATCGAATAATGTTATTATAAACAAACGACCACAGATAATATATAGAAAAATGTAATACTTGCTGGATCGATGATTTTAAAATTAATTTTTATTTATTTATGGAATGGATTATGGTAGATCAGAAGACTTTTTCTTTCTTTCTTTTTGGGGTTCTTCCGAATATTGATTGTTTTGAAGGTTCTCAAAAAATCTGCAAATTGCGGCATTTCTGTTCTTTTGATCAACTGATTCCCTCTAGATTCTTCCTTCCTTGGTAAAATCTTAATAATATGATTAATGCTTCTTGTAATTGTTCAAAAAAATGATTCTTGTTTGTTATTATCATCGGATCAGATGTTTTCATTCCAATCTAATTGATGAGCTAATCAAAATCCTATTCAGTTTTTTTCCATGATAAGAGAGAAGATCCAGATTTCCAAATCTCTGAATATCTTTAAGGAAGACTTTTTTTACAACCTGTTTGAATAATACACTGACAGTGAGGTTCAGTAACTCATTATCAAGATTTTTTGCTTGTTTATTGTTGCAAGATTGCAAAAGACATGTCAAATCTGGTAGGAACAAGTTCTTCTGAAAGAAACTCAGGTGAAGGCTTTATTCAGAGTAAGTGTAGGTGTCTCTCAATCATCGTGCTTGGGGCTTCTGGAGACCTTGCAAAGAAGAAAACTTTTCCAGCACTTTTCAATCTTTACAATAAGGTAGATAATTTTGTTAAATATTAGATATTTAGTCAGGGAAGAAACTGTTTGTGAAATATGAATTGCTTTATATCAGTTGACTATCTATTTACTTAGGGATTCCTAGATTCATATGATGTTCATATATTTGGTTATGCAAGAACAAAGATCACAGTTGACGATCTACGAGATCGTATCCGTGGGTGAGTTTTTATCAAATTATTTGTTTTGTAGAAAATTATACATTTATTTCAATCCTTTTTATTGCATAGATTTCTCAAAGGCAAAGATGAGAAAAGTGAAGATGCTTCCAGTTTTTTGCAACTGGTACTGTAAAAATTTTATTTTCTGATAATTAAGGCATCTTAATAATCTTTATATCAGAGAAAATCAACGACTTAACAATCAATTCAATGATACACACCTGCAGATAAAATATGTCAGTGGTTCTTATGACAGTGAGGATGGATTTCAAGCATTAGACGGGGAAATTTTTGAGCATGAGTCATTAATGAACTGCGGAACAAATTCTAGGAGATTGTTTTATCTGGCACTTCCTCCATCTGTTTATCTTTCTGTTTGCAAAATGATCAGGAATTGTTGCATGAATCAGTGTTAAGTATTTTGTTTATATATAGTTAATTAAGCCTCATTACAACAAGATCGCTGATACCTTCATTTTTCTTCTTCATTCCAGCAAATTGTGATGGATGGACTCGGATCGTTGTTGAGAAACCTTTTGGAAAAGACCTTGATTCTGCTGAAGAACTCAGTTCAAAACTTGGGGAGTTATTTGATGAACCACATATATATCGTATCGACCATTATCTAGGAAAGGAATTGGTTCAGAACTTGGTAATATTGCATATCAAAGTTATTTTTGATACCTTCACTGCCTATTGTATTTCAATCTCTCTTTCTTGTTCACAGTTGGTGCTTCGTTTTGCAAATCGTTTCTTTCTACCACTTTGGAACCGCGATAACATTGCCAATGTACAGGTAAGTTAGTTATGTTGGTGTCTGAGTTATATTTCAGGGTTTATCATTTAAAATTTAGATTTCTATTGCTTAGATTGTATTCAAAGAAGAAATTGGAACCCAAGGGCGTGGTGGATATTTCGATGAGTATGGGTATGATTTTAACTTCTCTTTAAATGATCTATGATTACTCCAAGTGAATGAAAAACATCTTAAAAGTTAAAATGATTCCAAATTTTTTTCAGGATTATTCGAGATATTATTCAAAATCATCTATTGCAGGTAAATCAGTTATATTTATGTAATTCTTGATTCAGGGTTTATGAATGAAATTTTAACTTCACCAAAGTTATTTTACTTATTAATTTCATTTTTATTAACATTCAAATATTCAAAACAAGTAGTAAAAAATCTGGGCTTATCTTGCAGGTTCTTTGTCTGGTTGCAATGGAGAGACCAGTTTCACTTAAGCCTGAACACATAAGAAATGAGAAAGTCAAGGTTTCAAGGATTACTGCTTGTATCAATTCAGTTATATTGTAAATTGTAATGTGTGTGGGTTTTTTTATCATCGTGATATATTGTTTATTTTCAGGTTCTCCAGTCAATTCTTCCAATAAAATCCAGTGACGTTGTTCTTGGGCAATATCAGGGTTACAGAGATGACCCAACAGTTTCAGATACTTCAAATACACCAACTTTTGCAAGTGTAATTCTACAGATAAACAATGAAAGATGGGAAGGTATTATTGTTATTATCAATATCAACTGCGATATACATTCTAAAATAAAATGAGGAATGGGTTATAGTTTTATTATTGTTGATCCATCTCTGTTACAACCCTAATTAATGATATGATTTCCTCAAAGGTGTTCCTTTCTTACTCAAGGCGGGGAAAGCTTTGGAATCGAGTAAAGCCGAAATACGTGTTCAGTTTAATGATGTTCCCGGTGATATCTTTAAATGTACAAATTTAACTATAATTCTCTTATTTCATAAGCTATTGTTCATTCTAAATAATTCCTTGTGTGATTTTATGCAAACCAAAATTTTGAATAGTGATTTTCTGCACTACTTGGATATTACAGGTAAAAAACAGGGGAGAAATGAATTTGTCATAAAGTTGCAACCATCTGAATCTATGTATATGAAACTAGCAGTAAGTTTATGCCTAATTCTATTTAATTTAGAGAAATCCTAGATAAATATCTTGCTGATTTTATATAATTTGTGCAGGTTAAGAAACCTGAACTTGAAATGTCTACCATTCAAAGTGAACTTGATTTATCTTATAAGCAAAGATATGAAGATACTAATATTCCACAAGCATACGAAAGACTCATTCTTGATACGTAATCCAATGAAACAGAGAATCCTTTTTTTTCAGGATTTAATATTTTATATATGATCAATCACCAATCTCTTCTCCATCATCATACAGGATAAATGGAGAACAGCAGCATTTTGTGCGCAGAGATGAACTGAAGGTAAGTATGTTTATACATTGTACCAACACGTGAAACTGAACTAAGATGTGAACTCTGCAATCAAACAATGATCTCTGTTTCTGATTTCCAGGCAGCATGGGAGATTTTTACCCCAATATTACACGAAATCGATGCTGGAAATCTGGAACCAATTGCCTATGAACAAAGAAGTCGTGGTCCGAAGGAGGCAGATGAGATGCTGCTCTCCAAGATAGGCTACGTGCAAACGCTTGACTACTTTTGGAAACCAGTTAAACCATGTTGATTGTAGTCAATAAATGACCAGGAGTTGTTTTGATGTTTTCTTTACAATCTAAATGAATTATTGTGCATGGTATTTTTTTTTACAATCTTTACATTTTTTTATCGGTCAGGAAGACAAGAAAACACTAATGAAGTAATGGGTGATGTGTTTCACATAATAGCATATAATATATAAATCGTGCTGATTTATTTAATAAAAACATAAGAGAAAAAATCACCTTCTATGCCAATTATACCACAGCTACTCTGTAATAAATCACTGCCCTCTCCCCTTGGTTGCCTACTTGGCTGGTATCATCATGCAAACCTGAATAATGAGAGTAGCTCACAAAGAAAATTGAGATTTGAATAAAAACTATTTTATTTTATATATTTTCAGCATCAATGAATCATGTTCCAAATAATTGTTTTTTTATACTCAGATTCTAGAACACAAATGTCAAAATAAAGTACAACCCTCTTCTGTTTTTCAACCTATGAAGGAATCAACTGTCTAAGAGTTTCATAACATCAATGAATTAGACCAAAATGCACCACAAACAATAAATAGCAAGTGGAGGAAATAGATGAAGTTTTGTACAAAAAGAACTACTGATGATGATGAATATCAAGCAGTTTCCCCACAATTTTTTCAAGAGCTGATGCGCTCACATTGCATTTTTTATCAGTAAAGCACGATCTACCTTCCTCAGCTGCCTTGCATAGTTGTGGGTCCATGGGTACTTTCCCAAGAAAAGGAACACCCATGTCGATACACATTTGTGTGGCACCACCAGCACTGCTGTCGAATACTTCACTACAAACAACCATTGACAAAAGATCAGGTGCATTTTCTTTTATGTAATCCATTGCCCATTGTGTCACATCCTTCTCCTCATCTCCATTCATGCCCATTTTCATAAACTTCAAATCCGGTATTGACTGCCTCAGACTACTCATGTTCTCAACCACACCCAATATTGGAATGCCTACCTTCTTACAAAAACTTATCTCCTTGCGCACATCGATCATGGATACTTGCTGAGGAGTGGTTACAATAATTGCACCATCAATTCCTGTGTCTTGTAAATATTGGACTATTGATATGTGTTCGTCAGATGTACCAGGTGGAGCATCGACAACTAGATAGTCTACATCTCCCCAATCCACATCCTTTAGGAATTGTTTGATCAATCCATTTTTTCGAGGACCCCTCCAAATCACAGCATCATCAGGATTAGGAAGCATGAAACCAATGGACATGACACCTAGGTTGGACTCTAAGTAGATTGGAGACCAACCGAGGTTACTTTGATGGATGTCCTGACCCTCAAGACCGAGCATCTTTGGTATACTGGGTCCACATATATCGATATCAAGAAGACCAACCTCATAGTTCTTGGCAGCTAATGCAAAGGAAAGTTGGGCGGAAAATGTACTTTTTCCAACACCACCCTTCCCTGACAAAACGAGTATCTTGTGTTTGACTGTAGCCATTCTCTCTGCTATTCCAACCAAATCTGATCATGCAAAATGAAAACCCCATTAGCAATGCAGAAATTTACAATTCAGGGTTTGCTGATTCCAAACATGAAAAATGAAATAAATGAATTTTAACGAGCTTTGTTGATTCAAGGATATTGCAGAGTTTAGGGTTTAGTATACTTATTAAAAAAACAATCATGTCATATTTATAACGACCATAGTTCAGAAAATATGTATATTTAACTTCATTTCTCTTGAGAAGTTGGGCAAATAATCCCAATTAAAGGCGACAACCTTTGGCAAAGATTATATTTTTCTAAATCAGGATAAATATAAGGCCATAAGGGTATATACACGTTTTGAGGTTTGATTGATTGATTAATTACCTGGATCGGGACCTTTTGGGGCAGTAGCGCAGACTTCTTGATTAGGACAACCAGCACATGCATCATCTTTCCCAGCATTATCCGACTGAGGACCAGGGCAATCTACAAATCATAAAGAGAAACTAGTTTTCGTCAATCTCAAAATCCCTAAATCTACAGTAATAACACAAGCTTTTAGCTTTAGTTCAGAAAAAGAACCCAATTTTGTAAACAACCAATTATTGATTTTTTTTCAATCAGATAACGATGATCGAACAGAAGAATTCTTACGTTCGTTAGCGTTCTCCGGGACTTCCTCCGCTTTCCCATTATTCTCCATCTATCTTCCTTCGAACTCCCTCTCTTTTTTTTATCCTTCTGTTGTAGACTTCTTCCGCCGCCTTTAATATAAACAAAGCAGCAAGATACAATCGATGGGACTAATAGATAAATTCAGTTCAAAGTCAAACTATAAAATAATCATACCGAAGTAACGAAAACAAGCAACCAGAAAGATCAAACGGAAACGGAAGCAGAATCTGACGAGGCCGGCGATGAATCCTCTTGCCGGTAATATCTCCGTTGTAGATTAGAGGAGTCCAAGAAGGTTTTCCGCTATGAATTTAGGGGTTTCAATTTATCAATTTAACTGGGTAAATTACAAATCATCCACTGAAATCTATTAAATACTTTAAAAAACCCCTTAGATTTCTATTAATTTCAGATGTACAAGCCCGTGATAAGTGACGTGTTTGTTTTGATTGGGACCAATGAAGTCAACGGAAATTCAAATCAGAAACTGATTTTACAAAACCACGTAACTTGGCTGATTTACCATGTGCTGATGTGCACGTCTGCACGCTGATTTCATTTTAAAATCTTTCAGATGTGCGGTTCAGATGCGCCAGCACGTCCCAACTCCTCCCGCAAGAAACCCACTCATCCGTCCTTCCCACTATATAAACACTGTCACATTTCCATCCACCACCAACACCAACAACCTCCAACTACTGTTCTTCTTCTTCGTCATCATCATCTGCTAGATCAATCTCCGTTCGTT